CCTGGGCATGAAGGCTACACAGAACCTGTGCATGGCAGATGGACTGTAGGCCTGGGACCTAACTAAGCCCCTTACTAAACCAGCCTTGAGCAGCCCGGGATGAAACTCAGGGATTTCATCACTGAAATTAAGAAAAATAATGCTAGGCTGCTAATAAAGTACCCCCCCGCCCGGAATGTCCCTAACAAGAGTTAAAACCCACGAAATTATAAAATCAAAGCGCTCGAGCGTTACCCATTTTAAAAATACACAAAACACCAACAAATAATAACAAATAAAATAAGCTCTAATCGGCAAATGGATGCTAACCATCTGCACAAAAATAAATTACAATTTAAACTTAAATAAAAAACAAAAGACAATGCATAATTAATTACGTGTTACTTAAAAATAATAGATTTCATAAATATTTTTTTTAAAAATTTACCTATATGATATAAATAAAAAACAAAGCTCCTTAAAAATCAACTTCAAACTACAATACAACAAGCTACAAAATATCATACCCTGCACAACAATAACGTATGAAAGCACCAATCCCCCCCAAACAAATAAATCCTAACTAGCCATCAAATAAAATTTGTATATTAAAAATGGTAAGCATCATAGATTTGCTTAGCATATGTATTCTGTATATATTGATAATAAATAAAATTCGTTTAAAACACAGTTATATAAAGCTCTTTCACTAAAAAAGGGCCTGCAAACCCGTAAAGCCCTAAGCCCCATGAGTAAGGGTAGGTGCCTTATGCCCCAAGCCCTAAAAAAAATTAATTGGATCATACCCTAGGATCTTGGTAGGGTATAAACTGGGTGCCCCAAATTGTGCGGTTAACAGGAGGACCCTGGTTTGGTCCTGGGAAGGCAGAATGGGGGGCACACAGAGTCCCTAGCATGGGGGGAGTGGGGAGACACAGAGTACCTGGCATGAGGATGGGGATGGCCAGGTTGCAGCAAGTCCTGGACAGAGGAGAATGGGAGGGTGTCATAGAAGGTGTCTGTGGGGGAGAATGGAGATGGGGATGTAAGGACCTCTGCTGTGTGCAAGGTCAGCCTACAAAAGTAACGAAATGTATGATTCCATAGTTTGAGTGAGTGGCTCAGGGTCTCACAAGAAGTCTGCGCTAGCACTGAGAGATGAGACCAGATTTCCAGAGTCAGACTCTATGCCCATGTAAGTCAATTTACACTACCAGAGAATTTGGCTCCCTGAGTCCCAGTCTCATGCCTTAACTGCAGGATTATCCTTCCTTCCTTACACTAGAAGTCTTGTAGTTGCTGTATCTAGTTAAACTGAAGCAGTGGCAGGAGCAGTGGGACATTTTAGGAAAACATCCAAGTGTGAACAAGGTCAAAGAGATTGAGTCAGTTGAACTAGCCTGTGGGAAGCACCAAGGGCATCCCTGTCTTCAAAGGGACAACGAGAAGATGTTTCATTTATTGATGATCTATGTATCCAACAGTATCAAACTAACAAAGATCTGAAAGACGCAGGCTAGCCAACTCACCATGAAATACACAAAGGAACAGGACTGCCATGTACCAGCTGTACAGGACCACTTCTGTCTAGGAGCTAGAGAGGCAAGGGGTCTTGTTGTCAGACTGGTTCAGTTCTCTGCTCGGATGTAGTGTGTGAATACACTAAATGTTGTGTTCTTTGCTTCTGTTGAGTGATCTGTATAATGGGAAAGACAACACAGCAGCTCTGCATATATAAACTGTCAGGGGAGCAAGGTCATCCCCATTATGTCAGGAAGCTACACCTATGGGACTGGTGCATACAACATTGGATCATCTTGGTAGCCCTACATCTTCCAAGTGCCCAGAATGATACAGCAGTTCACTTAAACAGAAAGAGCTCCATCAGTGACTAATGGGAATAGAAAGACTCAGTCTAGGTCAGGTATTCCTAAAATGGGAAGTTCCCTCAGTAGACCTATTTGCTACCAATGTGAACACAAAGTTTCCAGTGTTCTGTTCCCAGGGAGGAGCAAGCCCAGGATCTCTGTCAGACACACTTCTAATTAGGTGGGGAAAGAACCTGTTCTAGACTTTCCCTCTGTTCTGTTAATCCCAAGTGTTCCAAGAAAGATTTTACAGGGCAGAGTTCAGGTAATATTGATAACTCCAGCTTGGAGGCATCAGTTCAGGTACTCTGACATGGTGCATGAATCAATCAGTCCACCTGTTCCACTTATAAACCAATAGGGCATCATCTCACACCAGCGTCTGAATCCCTTGCAGATCTTCATGGCTCTTGAAGCAAAGGCAGTAGATTTTGGAAAACATAAGGGCAGCAAAAATGACGTTCTAGTTATGCATCACTTAGTGGCCAAAGGGGACAGCTCTCTCTGAGTCTGTGAATGGGGGATTCTCTTGCTTGGAGGGCTGGAGATGCTGTTGCTTGATGTAAGTGAGAAGCATAGCTTCCTCGATTTACGTTTTAGGCATGAGAAGGCATGCTGTTTTTGTTTACTTTGTAACCCTTCTATTCTTGCTTGGTATGACTTAAATCTATGTTCTTTATTAACAAACTTAGTTTTACTATAAACCGTCTCAGTGCAATGTACTGACGTAAATTGTGGGACCTTGGCTAAACTAACAGCCTAGTATGTGCACTGTCTCTTTGGAGACAGCAAGCTTACTAATTACTGAGAGTGCCCAGTGAGAGAGACTGGACGCTGTAGAGATACATTTCTGGGGAACTCGGGTTCCCTGATTGTTAACCTACAAGGCAAGGTTAAAGCGTGCAGAGTCTCAAAGAGTGTGCTGGTGATTCAGACAGGCTGATGTGGAATGGAGCAATCTCACCGTTTAAGCCCCAGCAAAGCTCCCTCTTGCTAAGGCAGACAGGTAACCCAGTGGCTTACAGTTCTGGCTGCCCTGAGCAGAGCATCACAGCATGTTTGATTGCGCCAAGTTTATCAGTCTTTCCAGATCTCTCTCTATAAATGATCTGTCCTTACCCTTGTTTATTACTCCACCAATCTTTGCTCGTAAAGTTTTTGTAAATGACACAAAGATTTTATGCTTCCACATCATTGATAAAAATATTGGAGAGTTGGCTGTGAACTGATTCCTGCAGAGTCCCAAACTGATGATTACTATTAACACTTATAATATGAGATCTATAATTTAGCCAGTTTTTAATCCATTGGATGAGGGCTATGTTGATTGTGCATAGTACAAATATTTTAGCATTTTTGTCCTGAGGAGAAACTCAGTGCAGCAGTTCTCCTAAGAGTAACCATAGAATTGGCAAGTTAACAGGGTAGTAGCCTTTCTACAGCCTTCCCCCTTCTGCTCAAAACAGACTCATCAGAGTTCAAGTGTCATCCTGTTTCAGTCCTTAGCTTTATGAGCACCAAAGTCTTCTGCAAATTAAGTGTTTGGTCTTGCAAAGACTTGTGCACCTGCTTAATGTTATGTTTGTGAGTAGACCCATTAATTTCTAGGGGACTACTCAGTGTATAAAGTTAAGCACATGTATATCTTGTAAGGAATTGGGACCTAAAAGAAATAACATTCTTGGCTGAGATATTCGTATTAGGTTATACCTGAGAAACTGTCAAAGAATTTCCAGAAAGCATGCTGAAAAGCTTCAACAAATTATGTGTGGAACTATCTAGTTCTAGTGTAGTCTAACAAGGAAGAATATTACTGTCAAGGTTCCTTCCCTACTCTGAACTCTAGGGTACAGATGTGGGGACCTGCATGAAAACCTCCTAAGCTTACTTTTACCAGCTTAGGTTAAAACTTCCCCAAGGTACAAACTATTTTACCTTTTGCCCTTGGACTTTCGCTGCCACCACCAAACGTCTAACCATGTTTATTTTATTAGGAAAGAGCCCGTTTGGAAATGTCTTTCCCCACAAAATCCTCACCAAAACCTTGCACCCTCCTTCCTGGGGAAGGTTTGATAAAAATCCTCACCAATTTGTATAGGTGACCACAGACCCGAACCCTTGGATCTTAAGAACAATGAAAAAGCATTCAGTTTCTTAAAAAAGAAGAATTTTAACAGAAGAAAAAGTAAAAAGAATCACCTCTGTAAAATCAGGATGGTAAATACCTTACAGGGTAATTAGATTCAAAACATAGAGAATCCCTCTAGGCAAAACCTTAAGTTACAAAAAGACACAAAAACAGGAATATCCATTCCATTCAGCACAGCTTATTTTCTCAGCCATTTAAAGAAAACAGAATCTAATGCATATCTAGCTAAATTACTTACTAAATTCTAAGACTCCATTCCTGTTCTGTCCCCGGCCAAAGCATCACACAGACAGACCCAGACCCTTTGTTTCTCCCCCCCTCCAGCTTTGAAAGTATCTTGTCTCCTTATTGGTCATTTTGGTCAGGTGCCAGCGAGGTTATCCTAGCTTCTTGACCGTTTGCAGGTGAAAGGGTTTTTCCTCTGGCCAGAAGGGATTTTAAAGGTGTTTACCCTTCCCTTTATATTTATGACAATTCCATAGTTAGTTTCCTAAGTTCCTGACACAGTTGTATTATGGTGATCATGTATCTTTTCTTCAGGACTTGCCATATGAAAAGGTCAGTATCTGGTAACAGATTTTCTTTATAAATGTTATAATTCTCAACTATTTTTATACCCTTTTCCTTCTTTCCTTCCACCTCTCGATAAGCATACTGCCAGCTTCTGCATCTACCTCTCTGCATGACATTGAAATATTGTGTGCTACGAAACACATGATACAGTTTTTCTCGAGCCCCTTCCCAAAGAGATGACAAACTAAGCCATAGCCACTTCTCTCCAGCGTGGGCAACTGCTGATGAGCATAACTGTGCAGTCCTAGTTTGAGGGTGTGCCCCAAGAGTCAATATTAGGACCAATATTTTGTTAATTGTTCGTTCTTCATAACAAACAATACTCCATGTATTGTACTATGTCATTCAGGAAGCCTGGATCCACGCAGCACATTATCTGTATAGCACACAGTACACACTGTGATTAAATATGACATATTCTTATCCTCTAGCCACGCCCACCAACAGACCTGGGTTTCAATTTTGATGCCAATAAACAACAAAGACAGCTGATAGCCGAACTGGAAAACAAAAACAGGTAAGACATGTAGAGCTGTTTAGTGGGGAGTGTGTGGAGACAGAACATTTACTTGCAGGCTTACTTAATTATTTCTAGCATTTTGTTATTTAAACTGAGTTTCATAGGTTCCCTTGTTGAATGGTGCACCTGTTTTATTAGTGCAATTAGTTTCTGTTGTTAATTACCTCTGACAATCACATTTTTTCTTGAGATGTCTAAATATGGACATGGTGGCCTGCCTTTAGGACCTTCCCCCACCCCCCAAGTTTGAAAAAAGTGGCCCATCTTAGGTCAGAATTTGATGCCAAATACTTTGTGCTGTTCATTGCCCTAAGATGGGGGTTCCTGATGACTACAGTGGGAGCTAGACACATACCTCAGAGGCTCCCAAGTTCAAACATTTTGGTCAAGTTGACAGTCTCCCTTATGTCCTGTGTTCCTGAGAACCCTTGAGGCTCCAAGAAATCACTTAACTGTCTTATTCATTGGGCACCAGCAGTGTGCCCAGCATGGTACACACCTTAAAGCAGTTGCAGTCGCTGTCCCAATGATCTTGTAATTTAGAACCCACATTTTGTAGAATAAACCAATCAGAAAATAGCAGTATAATAAATTAGGTGCCAGCTGGTGTGGGAAAGGGGGCATTTTGAAAGGCTTCATGGAAGAAATGTGATTTGAGAAAAGGGAGGATTTCTCCTCTATTGGACAGCTTGTAGAGTTTGGAATGAATCTTAAAGAGCAGACTTGTGACCGGGGAAACTCCCTTCTCATGAGCACCTCCTTTGTTTGGGTGTAAGTATGCACTCTCTCTCTTTCTGCTCCTGGCGCCCCCCATTGGCTGTTAACCTCATCAGGTGTGTGTCAGTGGCCCAGTCCTCCAACCAAGTCACACACAGTCAATATGCACCAACACACCCCTTCTGGGGTAAAAGGTCAAACAGGGTCTATCACTGTGCCCTCATTGGTATCTCCCCCTGTGTGTCTGGGCTCAGTTCTCAGCCCCATCTGAGCTAGCTTTAAGACCATTCCTGCCCTGATATGGAGCAGCGCCCCCCAGGGCTTTTTCCCTGGAGACTACTTTTTGCCTTATCAATTCTTCTCACCCAAACTCTCCAGCCAGGTTACTCCTTCAAGTTCAGTCCCCTTCCCAGGGTAACAGAGTTCAACAAATGGTTGGCCCTCTGCAGGGTCTTCAGCACCATCCTAGAGCTCTTTAAATTCTAGCCCTGTGCTTGGGCTTTTACATGAAACTTGTCCCCTTCTTTAGGCTTCAGACACTCTTCCAATGGCCAGTGAGGGGACCCAGACCCACCCACTACTCCGGGTCCCAACCCAGGGACCCAACAAATAGCAGCCAGGTGCAGCTTCCTTTAATAGCTACTGCTGTTATATCCTGGGCCGCTTTCCACATAGCTCCTTCCTCTTCACCTTTACCTCAGGGCCGAAGGTCTCCACTCCTCTCCTTCCTCATTGAATGTCAATGCCACCAGAATCTATCTTCTGGTTCTCCCTTGAGCTCTAGCAAGGAGCACCCTTCCTTGCTCCTCTGGCCCCAGCCCGGAACTGACCTGCTCAGCCCCTGTACCTCGTTTTATCTGAGCCTGCTTGCTCTGATTGGCTTCTCCCCTGAAGCCTTTCTAGGCAAGCCTGAAGGACCAAGCTTCGCTGCTCCTTTTCTGGAGCAGAGTGTCGTAGGACCACAATGCCTCCAGCATGAGGCCTCAAAGGGCCTGCGCTACACCCCATGACAAGACCAAATACAGCAGATAAACTAAACTGTAGGCTCAGTGCTCCTCTGAAGTCAGGCAGAGAAGGTGGTTCAACAATTTTTTTAAAAATGAAGATTAAAGAATAAATTTTCCATCTCAATTAAACGAAAGAGGGATTTAATTTACATTTTAATAAGTGACTTCTTTGCAGTTACCAATATGTTTTCTGACCTCCAGCTGTACAGGGTACGACAGCAGTTTAGAATATACACTGTGCAGTTGGGGATGCTAGTTAATTACATTCCCTTTGTGAGCCCTCATGACAAGTTTATCTCCATTACTGTGAGCTTCTGTGGCCAGGAGCTGTTGTTTTTCACATTCCTGCTGACCTACCAGAAAACCTTGTGAAGATGATTTAGAAATTACCCACTGTCACCACTGCTGCTTATGCTGGCTTGGCACCTCTGAAATGTTTCCTGCAGCAGGAGCAAATAGATCAACACGCTTTGACTAAAAATATCACTCTTCCCCCTTTAAAACGGAGCTGCTCTATTGGCCCCTATTGTAGGAACGACATTGCTGGCATACGGAGAAGTGGTGACATTGTTTAATTTCAGACTCATCATCTTTTTGGTAATAGATCTACCAACTAGTCTTGTGGCAATGTTTAGGTCTCCACTACACACCGCTTCTGGATTTCAGCCTACACCATTCACACATGAAAGGGAATTAGCGGCACTTACTGCTGCTGCAGAGCTGGGCAGAAAGCTCATCTGAAGCTTTTGTCTAGGATTTGAAAACACAGTATGAACTGTTGCCTTGTTTCGTGTTCGATCTCCTTGTCTCCTTATTTCAACAGAGAGATACTGCAAGAAATTCAGCGCCTCAGACTGGAGCATGAACAAGCCTCCCAGCCAACCCCAGAGAAAGCTCAGCAGAACCCAACTTTGCTGGCAGAACTCAGGCTTCTACGGTAAAAAAAAAATAAATCTAAAACTTTTATGCATGTGACATATTAACCCTTCAGCCATGTGTGGCCTGCTCTCCAGGATGGATGATCCTATCTGGTACTGAGAACACAGTATTACTGGTAAATCTACGAGAACTCTAAGGAGCCATTTTAAATCTTTCTGCTGGGGATTGTTGAAAGCTAGCAGTTATATAAAACTATGTGACTTTCATAAAGTGGATTTAAAAGTAAATAGAAACATCACTTGAAATGTATTCTTGCTTTAGATAAATAAGAAAGTTATTTGTAAGGAGGCCAGTAGAATTGGGACCATCTGCTTATTATTTACTGGACAAGTGAATGGAACAGAAGAGCAATGTCAGTGATTTGATTAGTCAGTGTGGTTTTGAAAGCACTTATCTGCAAACATTCAACCACATCTCCAGAGTTGAGGAGCAATCTTCGAACTCCTTTGATTATGTTTGCATTTTGAAGTGACAAGGGAAGACTTTTCAGTATTAGCAATAAAGTATGTCATTGTCTGTGTAATCACAAGGTTGAATTCTCTGGCTGCTTTTTATTGCATCTTCTTTTGCTAGTTAGTTCTCAGTTCAGCCTTCAAAAAACACCATATGAAACCTAATGCACATCCTGAAATTTAAGCTCTTGACAGCTACAGCCCTTTGAGAACTGCATTATGATAGGATTGCAAGGGAAGCCGTGCTGTATGTTCGCGTGCGTTCTGTGCATGTTGAGGAGTTCTCCCTAAGGCACAGTGCCACTGGAGTGGGGCAGCTTTGCTTCATGCCCAGGAGAGGGCAATTCCTATAGGCAAGACTGTAAGAAAGTCGTGATTTTTTGGTTCAGAAGCCACAGTTTGTAAAAATTCCAGTTTTGGTGTGGGGTCAAATTTGAGTGCACTGGAGAGGCGGTCAGGCAAAATTTGGGTGAGTGAAATTGCAACCCCACAAATAGGTAACGTTGTGACCTGGCGCACAGGGTCACAATGCCACTCAAATTTGCAACAACTATAAAAAGTTGCAATGTGTGTTAAAAGTTTGTTTCCACAACAATATTGCAGCCCACGATTTTCGTACAGCCTTACCTATAAGACATTATCCAACCCGCTACTACAACATTAAAGGCTCTCAACATATTTATTAGCTTTTTGTATAGAAGCAGCTCAGCCCCATCGGTACTTCTCAGTGCATTGCTGACCAATATTTCCTTTGTCTCATCTGCTGGTAACATCTCAAGAGCACAAGTTCTCAAAATGTGGGCTAGAGACTCCCGGGGGGCTTGGACACAACAGTGGACTCTGTGTTTCCAAGACTGAGCTCAGTGCAGATGAGGGAACATGTAAATGTGGGGTTTTGCTTCCTGTGCCTTAGACTGACCCCCAATTATGCCCGTTCATGCTCTCTGAAGCAGAAAGGGAGGGACTAGTGCACCACCAAGATGCTGATTTCTGCTACTCTCCCTCAACTTTCCATTGAAGATCAGGAGAGTGGGGAGCCAGGAACTGGGCTGCACTGATGTCAATCCCAGGAGTGCTGATTGCGCTCTTTCAGAAGATGCCAGAACTAGAGGTACTTCGAATTGCATGGAGAGAAGGCTGGAGTGGACTGGCGCGATCCAGATTAAAGAAAGCTGGGGCTGCTAGGTATCCCCATTCCCCACCCCCACCCCCCGGTTAACATTTTCCCCTGCTAATTACTTAATATTTTATAGACTGATCAGAAGCTCTGACTAAGCAATTTAAATTTAATATAAAATCACTGCTGATAAAATTTGCAGATGACAATGATTGACAGCACGGTAAATAATAATGAGGACAGAGCAATCATACATAGTGGTCTGGATCACTTTAACCAGGGCCCATTTGAACAAAATGTGTTTTAATCCATCAGAGTACAAGGTCATACCTCTAGGAATAAGGAATACTGGCCGTATTTCCAGAATTCGAGACTGTCCTGAAAGCAGTGACTATGAAAAGGATTTAAGAGTCATAGTGGACAAGCTACTGAACATGAGCTCTGGACCTAGTGTGAATCTGTGGCAAAAGGGCGAATGTGACCCTTGAATGGATAAACTGGAGTGTAGTGAATAGGCGTAGGAGATGATTTTTCTTCTGGATATGGCACTGGTGAGACCAATACTGCATACAGTTCTGGTGACCACATTTTTACAAAGATGTTGAAAATTGGAGCAAGAGCAGATAAGTCACCAAAATTATTTGAGGTCTGAGAAATTGCCTTACAGTGAGAGATTTAAGCTAAGCGGGCTGAGCTCCTTATCAAAAAGATTGAGAGGTGACTATGTTGCATAAGTACCTTCAGGACAAAATACCAGGTACTAAAGGGTTCTTGGGAAAGACATAACGAGAACCACTGTCAAGAAGCTGAATCTAAACAAATTCAAATGAGAAATGAGGCACAATTTTTTAACACTGAGGGTGATTAACCATTGGAACAAACTACCAAGGGAAGTGGTGGATTCTCCATCTCTTAATGTCTTTAAATCAAGACTGGATGCCTTCCTGAAAGATGCTTAGTCAAACGCAAGTTATTTGGCTTTATACAGGGCTAACTGGGTGAAACTCTCACACCTATGATATATAGAAGGTCAAACTAGATGATCTAATGATCCCTTCTGACCTTAAAATCTATGAACGACTCTTGGAAGTCAGAGAGTTTCAGGCAGCATTCAGATATTTTAAGGCCAGACTGGGCCATCATGATTATGTAGTCTGACTTCCTGCATAACACAGGCTAGAGCAGTGGTGGGCAACCTGCAGCCCATAGGCCACACGCAGCCCATCAGGGTAATCCGCTGGCAGGCCACAAGACAATTTGTTTACAGTGACCGTCCACCGGCATGGCTGCCCGCAGCTCCCAGTGGCCACGGTTCACCGTTCCCGACTTATGAGAGCTGCAGGAAGCAACACAGGCCACAAGGACATGCTGGCGACCACTTCCCGCAGCTCCCATTGGCTGGGAATGGCAAACCGCGGCCACTGGGAGCTGCAGGGGGCCGTGCCTGCGGACGGTCACTGTAAACAAACTGTCTCATGGCCTGCAGGTGGATTACCCGGACGGGCCGTAGGTTGCCCACCACTGGGCTAGAACATTTTACCAAGTAATTTTTGTGTTAAGCCCATAACTTCTGGTTGAGCTAGAGTATACATTTTAGAAAGACACATAATCTTACTTTAAAGATTTCAAGTCATGGACAATTCATCCGGTTGCTTGGTAAGTTGTTAATGAAATGTAATGAATAATAATTAACATCAGTATTAAAAAATTACACCTTATTTTTATCATTAATTTGACTAGCTTCAGCTTCCAGCCATTGGATCTCATTATGCCTTTGTCTTTTAGATTAAAGAGCTCTCTACTGTCAAAAATCTTCTCTCCATGTTGTTATGGTGATCCAGTCACCTCTAACCAGCAGAGCAAGACGTCCATTCTGTTATATAATCTTGGTACTTTTATGGTTTGAATAAATACATACTATACTCCACCCTTCCATTTACCATAGTAACTGCAAACAATACTCAGTAGATCCATTTGGTTTTGAGATGATGACGTTTCTTTTCCAAGTCATTGCTATCACATTTTTCACTTCTAAAATGAGTTGGTTACGAAGATCCTTGTAATGATTCATCCATAGGTATAGATTCACGAGGAAAATTTCCAGATTCAAAGGAAGGTCAAAGCCTGTGATATAATTTATCCTGTCTTTAACCTTAGACCTGACATTATTGTATGGATGAAACCACAGAAATAAATGAGTAATCCCCTCCTGTTATCGTTTTTTTCTGCAGTTATTGTACTATTTGTTCATGGTTTCAAATAATGCAGCATGACTTTCTTCGCATATAAGATATTGAGCTTTTTGACATGTGATGCTAATTTGATTCTAGGTTCCCGACTGTAGGAAACTTAATTCTCTTTGAAAATTCAAACAAACAAACACTAAGCCACTTTTCTTTCAAATCTGTTAAACATAGGACTTTCATTCTAGCAGGCTTTAGAATGGAATAATTTTCAATACCCAGAAAGGAAAAATTCCCTTCTGTACCTGCAGATTGGCTTGTGTTGTGTTACACTTTACACAGGTTCTATTGCAGAAAATGCTTCACAAGTTGTATGTCAGATTACTGGATAGAAGCAGCTCTGTAAATTCTCAGTTCAAGTTAATGGCATTCCATTGTCTCTTCCTTCCAGCACTCTGCACTCTGTTTTCATTTTTTTGGTGGTTCAGTCTGACTTGTCTTAAAGATCTGCTGGATGCCTGAGTCTGACAGCATCATTAAAAGGATGCTGGCTTTCTTTTCAAATTGCATTGGTTTAAAAAAAGTGCTTCCCACCATTATAATTCTGACTTTGGGTGTCTGTATTTCATAGTGAAAAATTTGATTGTTGCATGCCATGTTACAATAGGAGTCGTGGTTAGCGTGTTACGTTTTGCTCTGATTTTGTTAACTTTAAGGGGGAGTACTAAACAAAGTGAAATATAACAATGTGGTATATATGCCAATCAGCCAGCTCTGAATTTCCCTACGTGCCCCAGAAACAGCCAGAGTTTCTTTTGACACTTTCTTCCATGTAACTTGAACAGGCAGAGAAAGGATGAACTAGAACAGAGAATGTCTGCACTTCAAGAGAGCAGAAGGGAACTGATGGTGCAGCTTGAAGGGCTAATGAAACTGCTCAAGGTAAACACCTTTGTCTCAGACCTTCCTCCCTCGCATGTGCCCGAGCTTTGCTCTCACTAGACTCCTACATTGCTGGTGTCGTTACTTCCCTCAGTGATCATGTACAGATAATCTTGTAAACAACAGTAAAAAGCCACTTCCATTTCAGCTCTGCATATTGGGAAGGATGGTTAATGTGCGATTAGGTCCACATGCTGCTTCTTGTGTTAAAGTTGTTGAACACTCACAGGCTTTGGGAGGTATGGGAAAGGGAGGAGAGATTTGTTAATTGACTAACCAGTCAGCCTATGGTCTATACTGTCCCAATGTAATCATGGAATGCTCCAGGCTTAGCCTGAAAACAATTTGGAAGCTACAGCTACTACGTTGCAGAATGTGGCATCCTGCCTGGCTGGCAGTCTGAGCCAAAAAGAAAGTGTTACACCAATTCTCCATAGCCTGCACTATATCCTGTTTGCTTTAGAGTGTGATTCAGGGTGTTGGGTCTGATCTGTAATACGCTTCATTGTTCTGAGTCTGGGCTATCTGAAGGTCTAGCACTCTTCCTATGAGCCACGTCTACAGTTGACATCTGCCTGGACATTAAGTTCACCCTATTGTAGAGGAGGGTTAGTTAGTGAATGTTTATAAAGGGCTTTGACGATAAAAGGTTCTAAGTATGAAATCACAGTCTGGGATTGTGACCCTTTTAATACAGATATGCACATTAAGCTCATTATGAGAAGGGTCACCAAAAATGATGAGTGGTGTGGAACAGCTTCCATATGAGGAGAGAACAAAAAGCCTGGAACTGTTCAGCTTAGACAAGATATAACTATGGGGGGATATGATAGAGGTCTATAAAATCATTCATGGGGTAGAGAAAGTGAATAGGAAAGTGTTATTTACCCCTTCACATATTGTAAGAACCAGAGGTCATCTAGTTTTAAACCGGACGTCTATTAATTTCACTAACATAAGGACAGGTTTCAGAGTAACAGCTGTGTTAATCTGTATCCGCAAAAAGAAAAGGAGGACTTGTGGCACCTTAGAGACTAACAAATTTATTTGAGCATAAGCTTTCGTGAGCTGCAGCTCACTTCATCAGATGCATGCAGTGGAAAATACAGTGGGAAGATTTATATACACAGAGAACATGAAACAATGGGTGTTACCATACAGACTGTAACAAGAGTGATCGGGTAAGGTGAGCTATTACCAGCAGGAGAGCAGGGGGGAAAAAACCTTTTGTAGCGATTATCAAGGTGGGCCATTTCCAACGTGTGAGGAACAGTGCGGGGGGAATAAACATGGGGAAATAGTTTTACTTTGTGTAATGACACATCCACTCCCAGTCTTTATTCAAGCCTAAGTTAATTGTATCCAGTTTGCAAATTAATTCCAATTCAGCAGTCTCTCATTGGAGTTTATTTTTGAAGTTTTTTTGTTTTTTTTTGAAGAATTGCCAATTTTAGGTCTGTAATTGAGTGACCAAAGAGATTGAAGTGTTCTCCAACTAGTTTTTGAATGTTATACTTCTTGGTGTCTGATTTGTGTCCATTTATTCTTTTACGTAGAGACTGTCCAGTTTGGCCAATGTACGTGGCAGAGGGGCATTGCTGGCACATGATGGCATATATCACATTGGTTGATGTGCAGGTGAACGAGCCTCTGATAGTGTGGCTGCTGTGATTAGGCCCTGTGATGGTGTCCCCCGAATAGATATGTGGATACAGTTGGCAACGGGCTTTGTTGCAAGGATAGGTTCCTGGGTTAGTGGTTCTTGTGGTTTGTGGTTGCTGGTGAGTATTTGCTTCAGGTGGGGGGGCTGTCTGTAAGCAAGGACTGGCCTGTCTGCCAAGATCTGTGAGAGTGATGGGTCGTCCTTCAGGATAGGTTGTAGATCCTTGATGATGCGTTGGAGAGGTTTTAGTTGGGGGCTGAAGGTGACGGCTAGTGGTGTTCTGTTATTTTCTTTGTTGGGCCTGTCCTGTAGTAGGTAACTTCTGGGTACTCTTCTGGCTCTGTCAATCTGTTTCTTCACTTCAGCAGGTGGGTATTATAGTTGTAAGAATGCTTGATAGAGATCTTGTAGGTGTTTGTCTCTGTCTGTGGGGTTGGAGCAAATGCGGTTGTATCGTAGAGCTTGGCTGTAGACAATGGATCGTGTGGTGTGGTCTGGGTGAAAGCTGGAGGCATGTAGGTAGGAATAGCGGTCAGTAGGTTTCCGGTATAGGGTGGTGTTTATGTGACCATCACTTATTAGCACCGTAGTGTCCAGGAAGTGGATCTCTCGTGTGGACTGGTCCAGCTGAGGTTGATGGTGGGATGGAAATTGTTGAAATCTTTGCTCACTCGATTACAGACCTAAAAGTGGCAATTCTTCAACAAAAAAACTTCAAAAACAGACTCCAACGAGAGACTGCTGAATTGGAATTAATTTGCAAACTGGATACAATTAACTTAGGCTTGAATAAAGACTGGGAGTGGATAGGTCATTACACAAAGTAAAACTATTTCCCCATGTTTATTTCCTCCCCCCTTCCCAACCCCGCCCCCGGCTATTCTTCAGACGTTCTTGTCAACTGCTGGAAATGGCCCACCTTGATTAGCACTACAAAAGGTCCCCGTCCCCCCACTCTCCTGCTGGTAATAGCTCACCTTAAGTGATCACTCTGGTTACAGTCTGTATGGTAACACCCATTGTTTCATGTTCTCTGTGTATATAAAATCTCTCCACTGTATTTTCCACTGAATGCATCCAATGAAGTGAGCTGTAGCTCATGAAAGCTTATGCCCAGATAAATTGGTTAGTCTCTAAGGTGCCACAAGTCCTCCTGTTCTTTCTGCGGACATAAGGAAGTACTTTGCTGCAAGATGCACAGTCGGCCTGTGGAAACTTGTTGCCTGGGGATGTTGTGAAAGCCAAAAATATAGCTGGGTTCAGAAAAGAATTAGGAAAGTTAGTGAAGGACAAGGCCACCCCGCCATGTTAGCCAAGATGGCCTGGGGCGCAACCCCACGCTCTGTGTGTCCCTAAGCCTCTGACTGCCAGAAGCAGGGACTGGATGACAGAGGATGGATCAGCCGATAATTACCCTGTTCTTCTTCGAGTGCTGTCCCTTTGGGTGCTCCATTTTAGGTGTTCGTGAGCCCCTGCCCTCATACTCGGAGACTTTTGGTAGCAGAGCCCCGTTGGGTCACACATGCGTGGTCCCTGTCTTGTGCTGCTTCAGGCAGATACCTGATGCTGTGCGACCAGCCCCCGCTCAGTTCCTTCTCTTCCGCTCTTGGCTAGGAGTCAGGGGCCTTGCTACTTAGTAGTTAATTAGTTTAACAGTTAGTTACTTAGTTTCCTCATTAGCAGCTATTTACATTGTTTCCCTTTTTCTTTTATCCCCCTCACTTAGTTTAGAAAAAAACAAAACTTTTTCCTTTAATTTTCCTTTTGAGCTACTGGCTGGGGAGAAGTTTCAGTTGAACTTCTGCATACACAGCCTCTTTGAGGGTGAAAGCCCCGTCTTACAGGAATGCCTGGTTTCCCGGGCTTTAAACGCTGTCTCAACGGCAAGCTTGCTACACCTGTCTCAGACGGCCACGATCAGTGTGTTCGCTGCCTCAAGCTCACCGCCAGGACAGGAAGAGCTAGAGATTTGCAGTTAAAGCTCCTCCTTATGGAGAAGTCTCTCAGACCTGCATCTGAGCCCGGAGCCCAGACCCCTCCTGATCAAACTTCACCAGCCACGGCTTCTGACAGGCGTCCCACCTCAACCCATGGGTCTGAGCAACCCGCCAAAAAACTGTCAGAAAGGCAGGCACCTGTGTCCCCCACTCAGGAATCGGCCAAGAAGTGGCGTTCCGCGAGTGGACACTCGGCACCGGCACCGACTGCACTATCAGCTTGGTAGCCGACCCAGTAGGACCACCCGGCACGAGAGCCAGGGACTCTAAAAGAGCCGGCTCCAACAGAGGCACTAAGGGGAAATCTAAACCCCATTCCCTGGCACCACCAATACCAAAGCCGCGACCCACGCACAGCAGCACGGCACCGGGACAGAGGGCAGCTCCTTCAAAGGCATGCTCGGTGCACACAGCAGCGCAGCCTTCAGTGCCAGCCTATACACAGCAGCTCCCGGCACTGACAATGATACCGCCTCAGGGGCCAATCAAACAGACCTCGCAGCAGTTTCTCAGACACAAGGGTCTCTTAGTCGGCTCTGCCCCTGACTCCCCTATCATCGGCACCAACGTGAACATGTCAGGCTCGGCACCGAGTCTCCCTCCGCAATCTCCTCTCTACCGTGAACCGACTCACTCAGGACCCCCTCAGGGGACATATTACACTGATCCCAAGTATTTTCAATGGTACGGCCAGCCCTGGGAGCCCCCCAGTGGGCATACTGGAACCTGTGGATGGCATACCCCACACAACAGTGATTGCCTGCCACATCCAGACCTGGCACACAGCAGTCACCTGCAACTTCGGTGCCTGGCCCTTTGATGGCAGCAGGGGAACCGGGGGAAGATGAAGAGGAACCCCCGATCCTGGAAGGGGCACCACCTACCCATTTACCATCACTGTCCACAGATGACACCATTATGCCTCTTCCCCATAATATAGGGGACGATTTCAGACTATTCCAGGATCTATTTAAAAGGGTGGCTAGCTCCCTGGACATCTCTCTTGAGGAGGTCCACGTGACACAACACAAACTAGTTGACATTTTGCATACATCTGCTTCATCCAAAATCACTTTGCCCATGAACGATGATGCTCTTATGGACCCTGTCAAAACCATTTGGCAGACCCCTGCAACTGCTCCTCCAACCTGCAAGAGGTCTGACAAAAAATATTATGTACCAGCTAAGGGCACAGACGTCCTCTTTTCACATCCAGCACCCAATTCCCTAGTGGTTGATGCAGTCCAGGAACGTGGTAGGCAACAGCCCAAAACCACACCTCACAACAAAGAGTGGAAAAGACTTGATCTTTTCGGCCGCAAGGCTTATTCCTTGGCTAC